AAAAAAAAAAGAAGATCAGAAGCTCTGTGAGCTAACGCAGCACAACCACCTGCAGCGGAAGCCCTGGGTAGAGATGGAAAGACAATGGGAAAGGCTACCACGGGAACATTTCAGCATTCCCTTCCAACCCACCAGAGAGGACATCTTGTCTCCCCCCTCCTAACCCCCAACCCCTACCCACCCACCACTCTCCCTCCATATGAAACCAGACACTCCCCCCCCCTCCACTGGAAAGGCGGTAGCAAAAGCGAGAAGTGGGACTACAGCAGGGGCAGGTGACAAGCAGGCCACACAGACGCAGGAACGAAGGAACCCGTATCAGGCGGCAGTTACATTGGGAAGCACAATACTCACAAGACAGGCGGGCCATGGGCTATTCGAGAGACACAATCAGATTATTGCACAAAACACGAGCTTTACTACACACCAACACACTCACAGAGCCGAAGCCGCAGCTGCAGCCCTGAGCCACCCTCAGCAAGCAAAGTAGTTGATAAGTACACACTTGTACAATAGAGCATTCACTTAGTACACTTCACACAGCTTGCATACTTTACAGCATACCAAAGAGAGCAATCAGCTCACACAGCCTACACAACATACATACCATACAGCATGCCACACATAGACACCAGGGTATTCACATTCACACTCACAGTTATGCCTCTCTGAGAGGCAGGGAGCTGCAAAAACAGCTCACAACTCGTAAGATCACACAGACATTGCTATTAGCAGGAATAGTGGAATAGGAATAATTAAAGCATACTACACTTGCCTGGCACATTTATTTGCAAACTGGGCCTCTGAGCCACAACATTGTACGGGGACGCTGGACCTGATTTCCAGCACGTGCTGCTCCCCACCAATAGATGGAGCCTTCAAAACAGGGACTTGCTTAACGGGGATGCTCATAGCCTCATATCACCTCGATAAGCAATCACCATGGCCACAAAGTAAAAAAAATAAACAAAACGAAACAAGTGTGTTTACGTCACATTTGAGTTTGGAAAGTGCAAAAAAAAACATGGAAGGGCAATGAAGACACGGCCGCAGTTAGCGAAGGCAAAAAAAACAGAAAAGGGCAATGGAGACAGCCGCCATTCGAAAAGGCCGTCCCATGCTTCATCCGGGCCACGCCTGGCCGTCCCAGACCTCAACTGGAGGGTAATGGCCAGCCACGCTTCATGTTATGTGCTTTGCGTCTCTACGGCTCTTTTGCATTGTCACCTTTTGTCAGCCAGTATTGTCCATTTTTTGAGTTGACGTGCTCGGGAGACTATGCATATTCTTGTCTTCTTCTTCTTCTTCTTCTTCTTCTTCTTCTCATCCTTGGCACAGTTTGCCAAGGTGGTGGGTGGTTCCTGGAAATCTTCGATTTCCCAGGTCTACCCCCACCAAAGGATCATCAGGTAGGCTTTTTGTACGGAATATTGTCCTCCTTTCAATTTTTGGTAACGAGAAGATGTATTTTTACCAATAATCTATTTTCCCTGTTCTTTTAGCGGAAAAATTCACTACCGGTTATTATTTTTCCAATAGCGTAGGAAAAAAAACTTTTTTGGAAAATAGTCGCCGTCTGAATTAAAAAAGAGGAATTTTTTATTTTTTTTTGGGCGCGACTGCCAGAATATTGTACGTTTTTTTGGGTATGCGGAAAATATAGGAGTACGTACGTAGCAGGATATTTTGGTCCAGAATCATGAAAGGTAGGAAAAAACAGTTATGATCTGATTCAAAGTGCTGGTGGGCACGACCCTACTGCCGGATCGTTGAGCACCCGTCTGTCTGATACCGCACCCAGGTTTTTTTGGGCCCCCGCTGTTCCAGCTGACAACTGGGATTCGAAAATAGGACGGGCCTGTTTTTTGGGCCCCGGGAGGGAACGGATTGAGAGCACAGGAGATGACAAAAGTATATATTACGAGTATACCAGCTGGTACAACGATCCATACTCCTACGAGTCAGGATGGAGATGCAAGGCGGGGACAGGGCAACTTGCGGGAAAACAGCCTGTCGAGATGTCGAAGGGTTTGACGAAGCCAAGATCGGAGGGAGAATGGGAAGGAGAAGGTGGGATAGAGGGAAGTGGGATAACACGCAGGGCTATATAGATGAATCTAGAAATGGGAAGGTATGTCCTCCTGAAGAGGCTTGGGGTACGCACAAGCCGAAACGCGTTGAGGGTCGCGTACGTTTTTTTGAACGGTGTTTTGGTGGAGAAGACAGTCATGTAATGATATATCCTTATGTGTGTTCTCTGCTCTCCGTGTAACAGTTGTCTGTTTTTCTCCCTTACTTCTGGGAAGAGTGGCAACCAACTGCTTTCTGCTGTAAGAGTGGCCACGTTGGTTCTCTGTGGCCTGTGGCTACGAGGAAACCATTGACCGGTGGGGAACGAAGGTACGACGTGAGGGGAGAGGAAAAAATGGAGGGAAAGGTGGTTAGAAGAGGCCTGCAGCAGCTTAGGAGGCGCATACGCACCTTCAAGCATCTGCGGGGTTTGAGGAGGCTTCGTACAACTCTTAGGCAGCTGATGGGTAGTGTGATCTGTAGGATGACTGCCCCCGATAGGCATAACGTACTGGCGAGGATTATGACTGATTATCTAGGTAGAAGTGAGAGGCTATTAGCTACGCTATTAGATCTGATTCTTGGACCAATAGTGAAGCATGCGAGACGTGCGTCGTGGATGTATAAAAGGAAGGTGAATCCCACATTAGCCAAGTTACTAAGGCAGTTTGACGACGTATGTGCAGTAATCAGGAGGGCATTGGAGATTCTGATAGAACTTGACAACTAGTGAAGCACGGATGGTGGGACAGGGGATGGGCGCTATGAATATAGGAGCGACTAACATGGGATCGCAAAATCTGGGGATGACGAATATGGGGCCGCATAGTATGGGCGCTCAGGGAATGGGGGGGCAGCCCGTGGGGAATGTGGCGATGAATGGTGGAATGGGAATTGGCATTTCTCCTCCGAATAATTCATCGACATCATCATATGGGGTGGTGTCGTGCTATATATGTGGGAGAAATGGCCACTATGCTCGTAATTGCTGGCAAAGCCGGTAATCGACAGATGCACAAACCGGAAGAAGAGAATACCGAGATGAAAGAACTGTTGCAAAGGATTGCGCGACGTGAGGAGGAGGAAGAGGAGAGGAAAAGGCGGGAAACGGAGGAAGCAAGGAAGAAGGAAGAAAACGAGAGAAAGGAGAGTGAAAAATTGAGAGAAGAAGAGGCGAGAGAGGCGCGACTAGAAGCAACAATTGTGAGGATTCTAACACAGAAGAAGGACATGTTTACGGTTCGTGTGAATCCGCAAGCACCGGCGGAAACCAATAAGAGCTCACCGCGATCGAAGGCTCGTCTCATTCGAGAGCTTAGAAATTACATTGTTGAGTCTGACGGCGACAGCGAGGAAGTTAAGGAGGAAACTGAGAAGCTGATCGAGGTCCTGGAGAGCAGAAAGAAGAAAGGAAAGAGGGTGGTGGCGCAACAACGGACGGCGGCGAACCGATTTCTGAAGAAGAAGCAAACTGTACGGAAGGGGAAGAAATCAGCACCAGAGATCGAGCCGGGCGAAGAAGGTTTTGAGACCCCAAAGAAGGCCTGCACGGCGGAGTGTTCAAGCGAAGGGCTGATCGAATATGCACTCACTCAGACGAAGATTCTGAGTGGGATGAAGGCGAACGAAATCAGGAAGATCTGCAATACGGAAGGGATCGAGTACACTGTGAAGGACCAGTCCATTCAAGACATTGTACGCTGTCGCACAAGGTTGGCTTACGAAGGTTTCCTCGATCGGGAATCACCGATAAAGAAACCTGGCGTTGAAGGGTTAGAGTAGCTGCAATGTCAGGGGACCTGACATCTCTGGAGGTGGCCGTACGCATCCGGGGACTTATCGCTAGGAGAAAACAGAGGGAGATAGCTGGCGTGCATCCGCTGCTCATTCGAGACGATGAGAATGAACTATCAATGTTGGTATTGTTACTAACTTTGAGAGGATACATTCCATGGATTAGGAAGCTTGTACGATTTGTCGAGCCAGACAAGCTGGATGTGAATCTCTCAGGAGTTTATGTGGTGATCAGCCCAGTGTGTAGGAGATTCTACATTGGCTGTACGGTCAGGAGGATAGTTACTCGGTGGGCGGAGCACGTCAGATGCTCGAAGTCTGGCAGCATCGGGAATGCACCGAAGTTGCATTCATTGATGCGTTTTTATGGGTGGCAGAATTACGTGGTTATACCACTTGTGACAGATGTTCTAGATGGCAAAGTTGTGGAGAGAAATCTGATCAGGAGATTCTCACCAATCTTGAATACGATGGACGCGCACCAGAATGCAAACGAAGACGGACGAAGAAACGAGCACAGAGAGAGAGAGAGAGAGAGAGAGAGAGAGAGAGAGAGAGAGAGAGAGAGAGAGAGAGAGAGAGAGAGAGAGAGAGAGAGAGA